TTACCTGACTGCAAAGCTCTTAGCCCTCTGAAAGGCCTGCCACAGCATACAAGCCACTTTTGAAGGCCAGAAGACCACTGGCCTCTGGAGCATGTCTCACACTGGACAGGCTGCAGAACAATGGTGCACCAAGCCCAGAGCACTGTATAGGAGCAAAGCCTGGCTCTGAGCCCATCTCCCAGGTTTAAATTGGCTTCCACAAGGTCCAGTGATGAATTCCTTGGGTCTAGGGTAGTGAAGGAGCATAGCACCTAGGGGATGATGCCTGGGAGGGACTGCCTGCAAACCTTGGCTGAACACAGGCAGAACTGAGCCCAGCATGGGAACACTGGCTGAGGTTTCCTCCTTCAGTTGGCCTGAGCACCAGGGCATGTAGAATGTCAAACCCTCCTTGAAGGGTCTAGGACGTAAGAGGGGCAGGCTCCCTACCATGCTCGGAGGGGTTGGTGCTGTCTGTCCTGCCATGATGAAATTAGATTGCACAAGTGAAACCTGCTCTTGTTTCCTGGAAGTCCTTTTATTTTCTTTTCTGTAAACAAACCATACTTGAGCTCTAATCTGTGCTGAGATGAAGCATTTAACTTCTTCAAATCTTGCCAGCTTTACAGTCTGAAGGCTGGGGACAGCTAGGGGGAAAAACAAGAAGTCTCTTGAGCTGTGGGGTTATTTTTATTTTCCTTTGTAAGATTAAAGTGTTTTTCTGTGACCTGAAACTGTTGGATTTTCCTCTTTCCCCACAAAGTTTTTTTTCTTTTGTTACTGATGTTGTGTAGGAGACAGTTTGTGTCAATGGCTTCTCAGGCCTGGGATCTCTTTAGTAAGGCTACCTTCTGCCCTCCTCTTGCATAAAAAAAGAGTTGTCATTTACTTCCACTGATGAACAGATGAGTGCCATCAGCTGAATTCAATTAATTACTATATATACTATATATACTATACCTTGTATTCCACATGCTGCTATTGGAGCCATAAAATGCTGACAGGATAAAATGGCCTCTAGTTGTGCCAGGAAGGTTTGGACTGGATATCAGGAAAAAGTTCTTCACTAGAAGAGTTGTCAAGCGTTGGAACTGGCTGCCTAGAGAAGTGGTGGAATCACCATCCCTGGAGGTTTCTAGGTGTGTAGATGTGGCCGTCAGGGACATGGTTCAGTGGTGGACTTGGCAGTGCTGGTTAACAGTTGGACTTGATGACCTGAAAGTTTTTTTCCAGCCTAAGGTTCTACGACTCTATGAAAAACTTTCCTAAAAAATGCTACTCTGCTTTGCAATGGGATCGTTTCTCTGACAAAGATGTTTTTAGGGCACTTGAGCAACCATTGTTTTTGGTGATGTACGTCTCTGGAACCACATCTTGGATGCTTCCTATTCAACCTGGACATTCCCATATTAAAAGCATGCAAGTGTGTTTTTAGTTCAGATTAACAGAGATGGGAATGGCTATTCATATTAAAAACAATAAAAGGGATCTCAGTTCTGTAGGAGGGACTGCGCTTATGAATCCCCTTCAGAGAGCAGGCGCTATGTTTTGGTTTGTAGTATTTACTCAGCTCTGCCCTTTCTGGTATTTCTCTGAGATGTTTGTTTTTACCAGTCACTAAATAATCAAAATAATGATGTTTGACTTCGCTGGAAGTGTGTTTCTGTAGTGGTGGGTTTGCATTTGGAAAAAGTTGGTGATGTCAGTGGGTCTACAGGAAAAATCTAGCAGTGACATATTTGAACAGCCTTCCATTTGAGTACAAAGGATTTCTACCACAAGTGCTGATTAGTGAAATGAATTTATGTAGCACATAATAAACTGTGAAATTTCACTTGTCTTTTCTGCCTTTTTACTAATGCTTTTGTTGTGAAAGCAAAGGAAAAATGTGGTATTTGTGATGCTGTCACATCTTCCTCTTTTCCACAATACTTATTTTTAGCAGAATTTAAAGACCATTCCTTATTAAACCCAGGTTTCCCTCTTGCCATAGTTTAAGCCCAGCCAGTAACTCAGAACCACACAGCCGCTCACTCACTCCCCGCTTCTTCCCTCCCTGCTCCTGGAGGGATGGGGAACAGAATGGAAAGAATATAACTCCCACAGTTTGAGATAAGAGCAGGCCACTAAGGTATAACACAAAACCACTACTGCTACCACCGATAATAATAATGATAAAGGAAATAACAAGGGGAGAGAATACAATTGCTCACCACCCACCAACCAATACCCAGTTGAACTCAGGACAGCTCTTCAGGCTCCAGTGCTTCTTCTATCCATTTAAACCTGTTTCTGGAGCATATATAGCTGAAATACTGAAGGCCTATTAAAAGTGCACAAGAAACCTTATTCCTATGGGGATTTTCCTGTGAATTAGTGGGCTTATATTACCTGCTACAGTGCTCAAAGAAAGAAGTCTTTGCTGAACTGTGACTTTAATATGTACAAGTCCTTCAAGTTTGTTAGTATCCTAAGGATGCATAATACCTCTTCCCTTGAAGTAATGGTTTCCAAGAATCAAGAATGTGTGCTTAGGGAAGCTTTAAGTGATGGAAAAAATATGACTCCTGCCCCGATCAAAGCAAAACAAAGCACTTAACCACTACATTCTTTGTTATTGCAGTGTTCTCATAATCGGGGAGCTCTCTGAAGGAGAAGATACTGAGAGGCAGGATACCTAGAAAAAGAGAAGGAGCTCTGACCGAGAATAGCATCTCGAGTGAGTTCAGCTGTCCAGCTAAAATCTAGGCAGCCTTGATGAAGCAATCAGCTGCTCTGGTTTCCTCTGTGGGTAAGAAGGGGTTATGATGCCTCCTTGCTACAGAATGGGAACTGAAGAGCTCCATCTGTTTCCCTGAGACTGCCCATCTAAAAGCAGGGTTAAACCTTGTGGAACAAATGCAGATGTGGATGTAACAGACTGGAGTTTCATTTTAGTTGTAATATGGCAGAATGGCAGAGATATATATTTAAAAAAAGGAGCAAACATGAATTTAAATGAAAGTGAACATCTGTAACAGGGTTGCTAGTAACAGTAACTCAATAATGATGCAGGATACATGATTAGACTAAGAGTAGAAAGTGTCCATCTGACTTGCAGAGAGACAGTGCCTGCCTGAGATCTAGGACATTGACTTAGGGAAACAAGGTACAAATGGCTGTAATGATATTAATGATAGTAATGATATTAATGTTAGTAATGTAATGATAGTAATAATATTCTTTTCTTCTCTGGATACCATGAAGACACTTGTATGTAAATACATGGTCCTAGTGTCATCTGCATTTGCAGACTGTTACTGTAATCCTGTTAGAAAATGAATGGGTAGAGTACAAATGAGCAGGATTTAAATCAGAGCCCAAATCACAAAACATGTGGACTAGAAACCCCACAATGGAGATATACATAGTCTCAGTTTGACTCAACAGCAAACTAGTCTCTGCCACATCATACAGAAGGAGTTTCTTCTGTACAGAAAAGATGTAACCTCTTTTTCTGGTGCTTGATTTCTCTATAGAATACTACCTGGTTAATTATGTTAAAATAAAACTCTGGTTTATATTGCAATCCATAAGCCAAATTCACTCCTACATCAGTCCATTTGATCCATCTAATCCATCTAATTCAAGGAAGCTATACTGAAGAAAATATGAAGCAACATAGAGGCAAATAATTTCTGATAAAAGGATGTTTTTGCTTTAAATCAAAGTAATTTAAATCAGCAAGCCAGACATTTGCATTACACTTTATTTTTTTCCTTTAAGAAAATCAGGTTTTCATTGGTGTGCAGCCCTCTTGCTGTGATTATTACAGCTAAATATAACCCCTTACACCATACCAGTGTTTGTTTTATTTTGCAGGAGGGTGTGTGGTATCTGTACAAATCTACATCACTTAGTGTTTATTTACTCCCTCAAGCTCTTATTTCCTAAGCAGTTTGTTTTGCTGTCTAACATTTGCTCCAGGCTGGTTTTGTTTGGCCAGTCAGAGTCATGAGGGTTCTGCCCTTCCAGGCTTTAAAGATGGCCCATTCCTCTACCTTGCCCCATCTGAAGCCCAGGTGAGCTGAGGAACTGGAGGAAGAGGCTGGTGGTGGGTGCCTCCTGGAGGAGGAGGGACTCAGAGTTGGGAAGGCAAATTATCCCTCTGTCTCTCCTGCCAGGGCTGGTGGATGCTCTGCAGAGCCTGTTTGGTTCTGGTGGTGCTTCCGGCAGATGCTCCCTGTTTGGACGCTTGGCTGTGACAGCCAACATGTGCAACTTAAGTGGTCTTTCTTGAATTTTCTTTATATAACTGAGCTTGATACATGACATTCAGCTGAGTCTGAAATGACAGTGTGGGTTTTTTCCTAATTTAAAATATAATTGTATGGATTATTCATAGAACCACAGACTGGTTTGGTTTGGAAGGGACTAAATATCACCAAGTTCCAACCCCCTGCCACAGGCAGGGACACCTTCCACTAGAGCAGGTTGTTCCAAGCCCCGTCCAACCTGGCCTTGAACACTGCCAGGGATGGGGCAGCCACAGCTTCTCTGGGCACGCTGTGCCAGCACCTCAGCACCCTCACAGGGAACAGTTTCTGCCTAAGAGCTCCTCTCAATCTCCCCTCTGGCAGGTTAAAGTGTCCTGTCACTACATGCCCTTGTAAAAAGTCCCTCCCCACATTTCTTGTAGGCCCCCTTTAGGTACTGGAAAGGCTACAATAAGGTCTCCCTAGAGTCCTCTCTTCAGGCTGAACAAGCCCACCTATCTCAGCCTGTCTACATAGCAGATGTGTTCTAGCCATTAGATCATCTCCATGGCCCTCCTCTAGACTCACTCGAGCAGGGCCATGTCCCTCTTGTGCTGGGGGCTCCAGAGCTGCACACAGCACTTCAGGTGGGGTCTCATGAGGGCCCAGTAGAGGGCAAGAATCACTGCTGGCTCTTTGGGCTGCCGGTGCACGCTGCCAGCAAGTAGCATCAGATGTTTAGCTTAGTTGCATTTAAGCTCCAACTGAGAAGCCCCACCGGTGCCAGTGCTGCCCGACACTTACATTCAGCACCCAATGGTTGTGCGCAGGGCTCTTTCCTGCTCCTTTACCCCTCCTGCCCCCTTGCTGGAGGCACAACCAAACCGGCACCGAGGGCCGAAGGCGGCACCCACGCCCTTACGCAAGCCCATAAGGAAGCTGTAGGCGGGCAAGAGGTGACTTATGAGGCTGAGCACTCGCCTGCGCCTGGCCTTCCCCTTGCCCTGGTGTGGAGCAAGCGCCTCGGTGGCCCTGCTGCAGGAGCCGCACACCCATGGCCTGGCACTGAGCCCCCTCTCTGCCTCAGGGGGAGCCACAGGTACCCTGTGAGGGAAGTGCAAAGGGCTGTGATTGTGCTCGTGGTTTCTTGGGGGTGAAGTGAGCAGGAAGGAAAGGGACGTGGTGGCAAGTGCTGTGGCTCCTCAGGCGCTGCTCCCCTATCTGTGTCCCCTCTCCTCCAGGCCCAGGAGCTACAGGAAGATGGTATGCCTGCCCGCCGCCCCACTGGCACTGGCGTTGAGGAGGTGGCTGGGGATCCGGCTCTTTGTGCTGCTCTGCCTTAGTTTAGGTAAGCAGGAGATGCTGGTGTGGGAGCACAGCAGGGGTTGTGCTCGGCCACAGCACCTGTGTATGGGTCGGCAGGGGATGGCAGTCCCCAGGCACTTGGTCTGGTGCCTTTTGCCAGGGCAGGGTTTGGGGTGGCTGGGTCTGTTAACCATGGCAACGAGCATGGAGGTCCCTGGAGCTCTCAGCTCCCCAAGCCAGTCGCACTTGTAGGTTCCTAGAGGGTGGTCACCCCTCCCACTGCAGTGCGAAAAGAGTGTTTTCAGGGCAGCTGATATCTGTGGGTAGCATGTGCTGCAGCCCATCAGGCTTTGGATTTGGTGGTAGAGTGGTTTCTTCAGTGTTTTGGATGGATAGAAGTGAGCATGCGGTGGGGAAGACAGGACAGTGTGACGGGTTGGAGGGCTTTCTGCTGCCCAGATAGCACAGGACATGGGGAGAGCTTTCCCCAGCAACACAAAGTCCCTGTGAGAGGACTGCAAGGGCTGTCCCTCATCCTTCTCTGAGGACCTGCCACAGAACTCATTGAAGTCCACAGGTCCTTCCTGACCTCAAGAGGCTTGGGATGGAAAGGCTCCTAGCTGTGTGAGGTGTTAACCTTGCAACCACACAAAACTCACTTCTGAGCTGGGGTTAGTTGTGGATGCAAAACAGGCTGTGCTTATTGGCAGTGTTAGTGTCTCACTGTAGCTAATGATACTCTAGAGCAAAACCTGGGCTGAACCGAGGCTTTGATTAAAAAACGAGTGATGCAAAATTTTCTTTTCATGCTGATGTTTTGAAACTGGGAGATATTTGATGCTGAATTTCATTTTGAGTTTCAGTCTCAGAATCTTAAAGCGTAACTCAGATTTTAACAAGGATTGAATCACAGAGCTCACTTGTAGAGAAAGCAACCACCTCAACTGCTGCTCATGAGATCTGTACTCTCCTGTCTTCTACCTTCTCCAACCTTTGTGCTTGTGAAGCACATATCAAGCACGGATGTATTTTGCCTGTACTGCAATGGGCAAACAATTTATCACACGCAGAGCTGTTTCTCTCTCTCTATTTGATGAGCTTGTGGTATGTTATTAATGTAATTATAAGCATGTGGTAATTCACCAGTCACGTAGTTTCTCTAAAAATAATGCTGATTCCAAGAACAAAACCCAGCAATACGTGGATATACACTTTGATGTATGTTAATGTCCAGTACTAGAAATAGAAATTTGATAATAGAAAACCAGGTGTTCCTATAGTTGTGCTTTTTTTGATATGGTTTGCTAACTGAATGATAGTTTATCCTGCCTTCTCCCTTTGTGTCTTAAGCCTGCTTGTAACTTTGAAATCCCCAGCCCAGTTTCAACCACATTTGACAGGAAGGCAAAGCTGGCAGAGATGCTGTGTCCTTGCTTGCTATATGGAAGCTGTTGGCTAGCCACAGGCAGCACCCCAGCAGCCGGATGCCGTGGGGTGTACATGACGGTGTCCTCGTGGTGAGCTGACAGAAAGGGCAGAAAGCAGCTGAGATGGGCTGTAAAGATCATGGGGGCATCAAGGGCTTGGGAATGGGCTGGGAGGCATAGGGACAGGTGCCTGGGCTGGCAAAAATAATACACAGATCCGTAGGACAGCAGGAATTGGTCATCCTCTTGCTGAGAAGACTTACTTCTCCAAACCTATCAATTACAAAATCCTGAGGTTTTTTGGGTTTTTTTTTTGGGGGGGGGGGGGAGAGGGAAGCTATTCTAAAGCATTATATGAGCTTTTTGAGAATAATTGTTAGATGCTTCCCACACAATAAGTCAATGGAAGTACTGGTGCTTCAGGTTTCTCGGCAGTCTGGTGAGAACAGCACAGCCAGTGCAATTCCTTTCTCTCTCTGTATTCAAGCAGGCACACCCTGACACTTTTCTCTCCAAAAAGAGGTATTCCTACATTAGTGACCTTTGAAAATATATGGTACAATACCCACAAATGAATGGTTTTAAAAGCTTCACTGGGATTCGTAGCTGATGCCTTCCCTGGGTGGCTCACAGGGACCACAAGGTTCGACTTCTGACCTTGCTGTGGCAAAACAGTGAAGCGCTGGGGGTCTGCCATCTCCCTGCCATTGCCCTTCTCACACATTGTTAAACAAGTTACCAAAGCCAGCATTTACAGAGCTGATTCCACATGGGACTGCTCATGTCCACATCAAAGCACAGTTGGCACCCAGAGTCTGTGGCTACATCTTGCATCCTTGGGTTTAGTTCAGGTGTCCTGGTGCTTGCACAGCTCAGAGCTGTACAGCTCCAAAAGGTCAGTTAGCATGCTAGGATGAAAGCAGGTGCTCTTTGTACAGCCTGTGTGAGTAAAATGGTAATATAGGGAAATGCCAGGCTGAATTTTCACATCACATCAGTAGAAGGCATTAGTGGGGGACTTTATTAAAAAGGATTATTTGAAGGTTGTATTTCATAGAAATTGTCTATGCCCAAGCTGCATAGATACATGTGTTTGCCCTAGAACTGAATTTTGCTGCTCTGGGGTTCACCTGAGGTGACCCCTGAAGTGCCAGTGTAATTTAAAGCTGAGATGTTGTCTGCTGCTGGGGACACTGATGTGCATGAATACCCTGCTGTCTCAGCACAGTGGAAAAGTGGTAGAGCAGCCTTGATTACAGCACAAACTTATTTATGGTCTGAACGCATTGCCAAGCTTGTTTTTCTCCTGCCACTGCACATTCACACCTTCCAAAAATCTGCAGGATCTTCTCAGTCCCAGTTTGTTATACTAGGAAAATGTTGCTAGAAGTCCCTCAATATGACCTTTCCCTGCCCTGCGCACAAACACAGGCACAAAGCAAGCCCAGCTTTGTGTCCATGGAGCATTCCTTTTGAGTTTCCCTACAGTCTTTTCTTCTGACTGGGGACCACCTAGTTCTTAGTTTCTTCCCAATGGTGAAAAGTTTTGGGAAGTTTTGAGGAAAATCCCTAGAGCTTTTCTGAGTTATTGGAGAGTTGGGGTGGGGAGGGAATATCCACTTCTCTCCTCATTGCTAGCAAGCACTGTCTTAGAGTAACTCACTCTGGTAATCCCCTCTTGCATGTTACTGCCAATAAGGCGTTTGGAGTGGAGCTGGGTTTCAGAAAAGAAGGTTGGGAATAAGAAAGATTCCTTGTTTCGTGGCCACTCCCCAACACTGAAGTGTCTGTCAATGAGCTTTAGGGTGCTTAGCATGCACTTCCTATGTCCACTCTGGTATGGGTTCATAGGGGAGATGGCAGAAGCTTTTCTGTATGTACCAGATTTGCCTACTTGATCACTGCATGCAAATCGAGTTTCCATCTTATTGCTCTTGCTGCCTTCACCTCTTTTTTTTATATTTCTGTTTCGAATGAGTTTCTGTCTCCTCCTGTTCCAGACATGCAGAAAATAAATGTCTTTGGTTCAAAAACAAGAGCAGCGGAACTAAGGAACTCCTTTGTCTGTCTGTCCAGAGTGAGACCTGCTGTAACAGCTTGTCCGGGCAAACAGAAACCCTACTAAAGGCTCCTGCTTTTGCTTAAAGACTTTGTTGGGGTTTTTTAAATGAAAAACAATCTTTAGGAAAATAAAAATTAAATGTAGACAAGCTTCATTCTCGCACTGTCAAAATACATCTCTACACCTGCATACCAAGTGTGTAAAGCTACCAAACATTCCTTTCACCCACATAGTTTCTTTTTCCCAGTGAGGTCAGAATGAACCCAGGTAGCTCCAGCGAGCTCACATCAGTCTGAAGGCAACAGCTTTTTTGCATTTCTTGGATCACTGAGACATTTGTATCCTTTTTGTAACTTGAATGTCAGACGTTCCTGCACTTAAACATGCAAAGTTTGGGGCTTAAGATTTTATGCTTTGCAGTAGGTTACCAACAGAAGCTGCTACCCTGTACATGCTCCCATCTCTCCTGCTCATGGCTGCCTCGGTTCTTAGTTACAAGCATGATTTAATGGGCATAATTAATCTGACATAAATGAAGGCTGCCACTGACTGGGTTATCCCCCTGCCTTGCCAGTGGTAAGTTGGTTTTCTGCAGGGGTCAGTGTGGCCTCTCTAGTGCCAGTTCGCTTTTATACCCAATGCTGCGTACTCTGGAGGCTGCACAGCTGAGGGGGCAGTTTATTGCCATCAAAAGGTGCAGCCCTGCTCCCCTCTCCTCTGCTTCTGGCTATGCAAGCCTCCTCTTCCTTGCACTGGTTCTAGTACATTTCTGATCCTTGGGTGGTCCAGCTTGCTTAGCAGAAAGTTTCTTTTTTTCCCCTTGTTTTACACCAGTGTGACATGTTGAACCAGCCTTCGAAGAGCCTTGCAAGGAAAGCAGTAGGAGGGAGCTCGTGCAGTTGGAAGAGAGCTCCCCAGTGGGGAGCCAGATCCCCTCTGCTCATGTGGAGAAGGCCAGTTTGTCTTCTGGCAGCATCCACAGGTTGTGCCAGGCTGGAGGAGAATTTCCACATTCAGAGAAGCCCTTCTTCCTTTTAAACATGTGTCCTACTATAAGTGCTGCGCACATGTGCATGCGGTGCTTTTCATGAGGTGGCAAGGCAAGCGTGCTGAATGCAGTGAAGCCTGTTTGCTTGGCAAAAGGGGGGTGGTTTTGTTTGTAAATAGATAAGCTTTATTTGTATCTGTTGTGTCCCCTTGGAGGGGCGTCACTTTCGGGAGCCTCAGGAGATCATTTGAGAATATGTAAATCTTCCCCAGTGCAGAAATGCCACAGGCTGTATTTCTGCTTTTTCACTGTTATGCTTTTAAAATATCATTGGTCCCAGGGGACTCCCTGGCTGAAAATAAAAGTGCTGACTGCTGGCTAACAGTGGCACTTCTGGCTATACTGTGCTCGAAAGGCATTCACCTCTTGGTGAGCCCAGAGTTGTTAGAAAAGACCATGGAGCAAGCCTCTGTGTGCAGCACTCCTCATGCCGTAGCAGGGATCCTCAGGTGTAGTTTTAGCTCATGGCAGACAAGTATTTCCTCCCTGTGCCAAGGGAAGTGCAT